AGGAACCCATTTGTAGATGATTTATGATGATTTATGATGATTTACCTATTAAAAATGGGTTGTTTCCCAAAAAACCTCAGCTGAGGCCACCTGCGGCTGCAGTTCCCAGAGCTCGTGATGGACCTTTGGGAACGCGGCACCGGGCACACGGGGCACCACGCGGGGCACCCGGGGCACGCGGGGCACGAGGAGGCGCAGGTGCAGCACGTGGGCCATCGAGAGATGACGCACCTGGAACATCATCATGGAAGCCATGAAGAAACTGGGCAGAATTTCGGATAGAAACTGGGCGAAACTGGGTAGTGAAATAAAAACAGAGAGATTCGGAAGTCATTAGGATGGATACAGATGGATGATGAAGAAAGTGAGCAGACATTCTGAATGTTCTTTTTTTTGTTGGGATATTGTTTGGAAATGTTTGGAATATATAGGATCATCGGGTATAATATTAATATAATCTCAACAATAAATCTTGATATCAATGGACAGCTGATAAATAAGCTGAGATCATTTGGGTGAAATCATGAAAACATCTGGAAAAGATTGTGTGATTACCCTCTGGTAAATAAACATCTTCCAACCCCGATGACTGCCAGGGTCGAACTGTGAATTTACCAGAGGGTACTCAATAAGGATTTCCACTCTCTATCTGATAAGCGTTTCTCCTTGCACTAGCTCTTCTCCACGACGTATGTGGGGCCCGTGGTCCGTTGTATTCATTCGCGGGGGATGGTGACCACAGTATTCATATCAATCCATGGGGATTTAGACTCCATGATGGTTATGACTAACAGTTTGCCATGGAAAATCACCATTTATAATAGGAAAACCATAGGAAAACCATAGGAAAATGGAGGTTATACCCATCTGGTTATGACATTCACAGATGACATTCACAGTTTGCCATGGAAAATCACCATGCTATTAATAGGTAAACCCATCTATTTCTATGGGCCATCTATACCATGGCTATGTTAAATAACCAGAGGGTAAGCCATAATGTTGGTGTCATCCGTTATGAGAGACCGGGAGAAATCTGAGTTCGTCAATGGTTAAACTACCTGAAGAGGTGAATGGAACAATGGAACATAAATTTGCAAGTGAATCAACCACGTGAATCAAGAAAAACCCTAAGCTAAGTACCTTAACTAGCGTGAAAGTGAATCGAACCTGTATCACAGTGACTGGTTGGTGGTTTGGAACATTTGGATTATTTTTCCATATATTGGGAATAATAATCCCAACTGACGAACTCCATTTTTCAGAGGGGTGGGTATACCACCTACCAGTACTACGTATGTTTTGGACCCTAGCACATAAGTACACATGACTATGTCATGAATGCCTACAGAACAATGTATACGTATATGTTCATTTATATGTGAGCAACATGTATGCATGTGTACATGTACGTTTAGTAGACATCCGTCAGACCAGCTTTTGTACATGGTTGCTCGTGGTTCAAAGCTCCAACAGTAAACACCACTTGACGTTTGGAAGGAACCAATCATTTTCTGTGTCCTTGCGTGGATAAGTTGACATTATCATTTTGTCAGCAGCGGTTAATTTTTGTGGGACAGTTTCGGCCATCCCATTTAAGATTCTACACTTGTTGCCGAGGAAATCAGCATCATTCTTCGCTCAGGTCCCATATTACTTTGCCGATTTTTTTCCCAATTCCATCCTCATTACGTATATTCCCCATCCACAAGCCATCCATTGTGCGGAATGCCCCGCCCCCAAAAAACTAAAACAGGAATTTTCTATCCCCCAGCCAATTTCCCCTATAGAATTGGGACACCTAGGTGCTGTATAAAACGCCCAGGTTAAATGGGTGGTGACGACTTCCCATGGCTGAAACCAATGGGTGTTCCATGGCTGGCTAGGGCCAAAATCGTGGGATCGTTAAAATCGCCTCAATCTCCTTTGGGATTATCGGAAATCATATCAAAGCATGTAAAAACCATGTAAAACCATACATAACACACATGTATATATATATATATCACATATAATATATATATATCACATATATATATATAATATCACATATATATAATATATATATATATCACATATATATATAATATATATATCACATATATATAATATATATATATATATCCATATATATATATATTATATATGCGATATATTATATATATATCCCATTAAATCCCATGAGTTTGGCTAAATCCGACATTCCAATCCCCAAGAAATCCCTAGGTGACATCCCCATCCCCACAAGAACCATCCATTCCAGGACAGCATGAGCGACCTGGGTCTGGCGCTGATTTCCTCCGGCACCACCATATTTCTAGCCATGATCAGTGACTGGGACCTTGGATTTTTCCTCTGAAAAGATAGGCTAGTGGGTGCTAACCTGGGATATTTGCGGATTTTCTATGGTTTAATATGGTTCAAAAAAGGGATGATCATGCGAAAATGATGGGATAATACTGGGATATTAATGGATATACCCTCTGGTAATTCCACATAGCTATTGACTGTTGAAAATGGTCATTTAGTTCGTTGATCGACATCGTAAAAATGGTGATTTTCCAGTTCGCAAACTGCTAGTCTACCAGAGGGAATCTACCATGAATGTAGATCATGTTCGGAACGGAAACCATGGGTTTTTCACATCTATGTTAGTTTACTCCAGGGTATATGTTGGGTAAAAACACCACGAAATATCTGATAGTAACTGATAGTAACTCACAAAGATTGAGAGAGTAATTCTTCACCATTTTCCTTTTGGACACTACTCTAGTGGATCTTTTTTTGGGGGCTATAGATTTATCCAGATTTTTTCACCATGTAAAACCACCACTTTTTGATGGTGAACTCCGCCACAGCAAGGTGCCATCTTCGCTATGCGCCTCTTTCGCGAGATGCTGCGGCCACAGGCCACAGGGGCGCAAGGTGGGCAGGGCGACATGCAAGGCGCGGTTGTGGAAGGGTCGGGCAACAAGTGCTGGGATGGAGTTCAGTGCTGGAAAAGTGTGGGGATAAAATCGAGAAGACCCAACCTGGTTATGACTAACAGTTTGCGAAATGGAAAGGTCCACCATTTTTAAGAACGGTAAACCATCTATAAATGGGCCATTTTCCATGGCTATGTTAAATAACCAGAGGGTAAAATCAACCACATTTTGAGATATTTTGGGAATCTGGGGAGAATTTTTGAGGTATACAATCCAAGATTTTAGGATATGACAGATTTACGGCCAACAAATTCAAAATGAAACTCCAAAATGGATCAAATTGACCATGTATCCAATTGTGGGGTTTCATGTTAAATTGAGAGGGTGTACTGAGGGGTAGCCTAGGGTATTTGTCATCAACCATTGTATGGGAATATGGAGGTATAATGGAATATTATGGGATCGCGGACGAGTAGTTCAGTGTATTGCGGCAAGCCCCTCCGTGATTTTTGAAGTAGCTTGGATTGATATATTTAAATATATATATATAATATATATAATTCCATTCTCCGCCAAGAAACCGTGGTTTGATCGGGAATTTACACATATTTGGGACAATTTATGGGATGACTGTTAGGGAGATGGGATTAGTCATTAGTCATAGTATGTCATAGTCATGACCTCATACTTGTATTACCATCTGGTAATTTAACATAGCTATTGAACATGGCTATTAATGGCTGATTTACCTATTAAACATTGTGTTTTTCCATCGTTTTTTGTATGTTGACCATTGGTAAACAACTCCACTTGCTGCACTTTCAGGGGGCCACGGCTCTCTATTCCCATCGATGGTTGAAATCATCTCACCATGATTTCTGGGGATCAAATGGTTGAAATCTCGCGATGGTTTTCCAGTTTGGGAGTCGCCATGGTCGAAGCCCAGCCCCCATATTTTAAACGGACGGCTTATGAATGCTTAGGCTTAAGCTCCAGATTCTCCCACATTCCAAACCGTGCTTGGTGGTTTGGGAACACATTTGGGATAACCAATGGGATATTAACGGATTAATTATAGTGGTTAATGGTGGATAATAGTGGTTAATGATGGTTAATGAGATTTCTGGTTGGTGGTTTGGAACCTGATTTTCCCATGATATTGGGACTGTCAGCATCCCAACTGACGAAGTCCATCATTTTTCAAGATGGTTATGGCACCACCAACCAGATTCTCTCTATGTCACCAAGAAAATCGCCATGTTTCAGCTAAAATCGCCGCCCTCCCAGGTGTGTTGCAACTGGAGGTCCCGGGCGTGCAACCCTTTCGGCCCTTTTCGGGACAAGGGCATCGGCTGATCATGGAAGCCGACAAGGATCCCGGTCGGGTAAATTTTTTGAGATAAATTTGGCAAATAACAGCAGAATAAGATCAACATTTATGTGATTGGTGATCATATAATATCATATGTGTGATTTACATTCTAGAATAGAATCATACATATATCAAAGAAAAGTTGTTGAGATCACACACAATGCACCACTGTTTCTATGCAAGTGTTTTTTAGTCGACATATACAGGAATAACATGAATAAACAATCAACGAGAAACAATGACATCGATGTCACTGACTAAGTACCATCTGGTTATTTAACATAGCCATGGAAAATGGCCCATTTATAGATGGTTTTCCCATTAAAGTACCAATTAAAGTACCAATCTTGTGGCGTTTTTGTTGATCTTTACGCTGGTTGACCGCTGCCGGGAGGACGACGCCTCTGGCGGAGCTGCTGCCAGTGGGGAGCGGGAGCCCCGGTGAGGCTACGCCGCCGCTGTTTCAACGTTTCAACCCGAGCTGGGTGGGTGGCCAGATGTCAAATCAACAAAAAACGGCAGGTAAACCATTTGCTTCAATTGCATCTATTGGGAGCCTTGAACACAAGACACGCCTGTATTGTCTACGCTGCGCGTTCATATCCATGTTCACATCCATTCATATTCATATCACGAAAGCTAGCCTCAACTAGTCGGAGTTACTCTTGCTATAGCAAGGAATTGGATGGCAGGTCGGTTTCATGCGCAGTTTTCAAGTCACGGATCTCTGAGCTCTGGTTTATTTGTGGTTGAAGTCACGTGTTCGATTGGTTTTGAGTCACTGGTTGGTTTTGAGCCAATCTTGGCATGAGTTGGCGCACGGTCAGATGTTTTGGTCACATGTTTCAAATGGATTCGTGTGGCTGATCAGCCACTAGATCAGAGTGATTTTACAGTTGCTTTGAGTCGCTAATGGTTCAAGGTTTGGAATTGAAGCCGCGGACGGGTTGATTCAAAATGCAAGAAGCCCATTGGAATCCAGGCGAAACATGTGAAGATTCAGAAGTTGGGACTATCAATTTGGAGCTAATACACGCTAATATACGCTAATATACGCTAATAAACGCTAATATACGCTAATATACGCTAATAAACGCTAATAAACGCTAATATACGCTAATATACGCTAATAAACCCTAATAAACGCTAATATACGCTAATATACGCTAATATACGCTAATATACGCTAATAAACGCTAATATACGCTAATATACGCTAATAAACTCTAATATACGCTAATATACGCTAATAAACGCTAATATACGCTAATAAACGCTAATAAACGCTAAAAAACGCTAATAAACGCTAATATACGCTAATATACGCTAATATACGCTAATATACGCTAATATACGCTAATATACGCTAATACGCTAATATACGCTAATATACGCTAATATACGCTAATATACGCTAATAAACGCTAATAAACGCTAATAAACGCTAATAAACGCTAATATACGCTAAT